AAGTTTTCTTACAAATTGCAAAATTTAAAAAAAAATTGTTCTTATTAATTTAATATAATTATTTATAATAATTATAATAAAAAAAGCCTGTTAAATTCAGTTTTTATTATGACTCATTTACGAATAAGTATATCATTATATACTATGTGAATAAATCAGCTGTCAGATAAGCTATGACAATAGATAATAGGCTTCAAAGTTTCTAGGCTCGCTCGAGAGACAGAAAAGTCATAACGAGATCTTTTCGTCATTGACATGATGAGTGTTCATCATTTAAGTCATAATTACTATGATAATGAATACTTAATACTTGACAATTGCTTTACATTTATACTTACGTCTATTCAACAAATTGTAAGCAGCATGTTTTTCCCGATTGGACTGATGCCTGCCGACAACTTGTTTCGCCGATAGAAAATCCAGCTCTGCTGGTGACATTTCATCCATAACAGAGGACAAATCGTATATGTCCCACGTACGTCTTCGAAGATCAATCATGATATGCTGAAGATTACGCAAGACTACACAAGCTATTCCATCCATCTCATTTAGTATGTTATCCAATCTTTTATCAGTAAACTCTTCCCATTCCGCGCCACCTGACACAACACATACTTGTTCCACACCGCATGGCATCTGTAAAATGCAAGCACAAAGAAATAATTTTTATAATAATGTTGTCTTTTCCTTAAATAAAAATTTTTTTTTTAGACAATGCTTAATTGATATTTACACGAATTGCTCTCAAAACACGGGACGTTGTACAGTCAAATATACATAATAACCCAGAAGAATCTTTCAATTTGTTCGCACAGTTATCCACTCCAATCAGCAGCAGTGGAAATTCTCCAGATTGTGCAGGAAAATGAGAAACTGATGTTACAATCCCACGAAACGTCCAACTGCTAATGCTTTCCCCTATTTTTACATTGAAGACTATTAGGCGGCAGCCATAACTCAGCCATGCATATGTTGCATTATGTAGAAATCCTCCACGACATTCGCTGTCACTATCGTGCTCTTGAGAGATTGCAGACTGGCCATACTCCTCAGTCTCTGAATTTCTCAACTGATTTGACACAGGAAATTGTAGGTTCACGATTCTGCGAATCTGCACGAGAAAACATAAATTTATCGAGAGATTTATCGGGAAAAGCGGGAAAAAGTTGCATTTGTCGAACAGAATCCGTTTTTTTCATAAAATACGCTCAAAGTAGAGAAACGTTAATCGAGAATGAGTTTATATTAGCGATAACTGAATTTTCTAAAATAATGCATTATACCTCGCAATTGACTTCCTTCAACTCCTTCATTTTTCACACGAGCTACCGAGATATCATCGGTGAGAATCGCATTTAAAAAAAAATCTTCTCGCGGCACGAAAGAGAGGTTATACTGGCGCCAAACTTTACTATTCCCTCGTAAGATCGTTCGTGAGATACATAACAGACGAAATTGCGTATTGCAGGCGTAATTTGGGCAGGAGCGATTTATTCAGAAGAATAATTTAGAATCGGTACTACGAAAACAATATTGTCTCTCATTCGTTTAGCTACTCGCGCGTGCGAGCACACATTTTGAAATCGCGAACTCTACTACACAACTGCGAAATACGTTAAGCATTGTTCCCAACCGCATATCGTTTTGGGATAACACGAGACACCGCACGTGGATCTCTTTATTGATTATCTCAGCAATCAGTAGGTAAAATGTTACGTAAGATATATTAATTGCGCATTCAAGAAATGCTCTTTAGAGGGAGATTGATAATAATTTAACATATATAAACACGCGAAATAAAAGCATTCTGTATCTCATATCGTGAATAATTTTTAATTATACACTAAAGAGAGAAAGAGAGATATCTCTTATTCTCTCACATGAAGTTAGACGCAGTTTTGAGGACGAACTTGGAGCATGCGCATCGTATCTAGATATATTTGTATATCAAAGGTTTGCTCGTTTGAAATCTTGATCTAATAAATTATTATAAATGCACCGCAGATTCTATTTTGTATTTCGAATTATAAAAACGATTGAAAAAGAAATAGAATTTATTTGAATAAAATGATTTGAGGCTTGGTTATAAAAATAATTTGATGGGAAAACATGGAAATTTCTGAAAAAAATAATTAACTCTCTTTCTTGACATTTTGGCTAAGAAAAAATTAAATTGAGTTTACAATATATATAGATCCAAATTGGTCCGAGAATTTATTACAAAAAGAACATCCAGTAGCTTTTTTTTTTTTTTTTTGAGACATTATTTATATGTATGTGTATATAAATGTATGCGTATAGCATATGATAGCATATGACATATGACATATGACAGCATATGTGGCCCATTTGACGTTTGCCTCGATGTGCATTTTCGCACATACGTTAGATATCTCTTTGAATTTTTGGTGACTGTGTAAGTCCTTTATACGATGAATAATTACGATTCACTTGACGCGAGTTAAATCGCAGACTGTATCTATTGTTATAGCGACGCGAACATCTTATTTCTGTAAACGTGTCAAGTATTTTGCGAGGTTAGAAATATTTAACAACGTGTATGGCTATTTAAAATTATTGCATATAACGGTAACAAAGGATTCGATTCTTAGGAAATTTGGAGGTGTTCTTTATTTTAGGAAAATATAAAGATATTTTAAGTTATTTCTGCTTTTATATCATTAATCGTGCAATTGTTTCTTGATAGTTTGTAATCTACTACGATAAAATTTAGGAATATTTTTTCGAGATCGAACAAATACGTTATAGCAGAATGTATGGATTTTTAGGAGAAAAAATGGCATCCAATTCTGGATCTAAAACTGATCGGCATGCCGGTGGCGATCAACAGGAGAAGGGTATTGTATTATCATCTGTAGAAGATGAACACTTAATTAATGAGAGGGGCGATTACGGCGCGTCGACTAAATCAACCGTTCACGATATTACAAAAGAATTAATTGCCAATGAATCCGAGCACAATATTGTACAAAGTTCTGAACCAGCAACGCAGTCTTCGTACACATTGTCAACAATAATGAGCACTGGGGACAGTTATGACAATGACGGCAAGATGAGAAGCGCGGAATCTTCTGATAGTGAAATTCTTCTAATCGATGAAGGTCAGAGGCACTACCTTGCATTTTCCATTGTATTCCTATTTTATATTACAGTAAAAAACACGAACATGTTTTTCTATAAATATGTTATAGTTAAAAACACACACAAGTTTTTCTATATGTTTATTATTTTGATTTATTTTGGTTTTTAAGAGAAGTACATTTGATGACAATATTGTTAGTTGAGTAACCTTTAAAGCAGGTAATGTTCTAAGGCTTCACGACTTATACAAGATCTTTTTAATCTAATAATTAAATCAGCCATTGTTGCTGCTATAAGATAAACTATCTTTGAAACAGTATATTAGTGCTTTCAAGAAAATGTCAATAATAAAAGTACAATATGGAAATAAAAAAAAAGTTTCGAGGTTTCGAGGTAGTTGTTTTTAAGTTTAATTAGCTTATGGAATTTAGGTATATGTTGTCCATGTACTTATAATGCAGAAAATATTGGGTCTAATATAGATTCCGATATCCAGAATAAAAAGAATAGTGTTGGCAATGCAATGAACAAACTAATGGAAAGACAATACGATTCTACTATTGATGAAAGGTTGCCGGAAACTGTAACATTATTGACGACACCGGACGGGGGAAAATTATACTTAGTAGGCACAGCACATTTCAGTGTTGAAAGTCAAAATGATGTGTCAAAGGTAACTATCTTGTATATTCTTTGTCTCGTTAAAATCTTGATTTCAAGAGGATAATTTTATTATAAAAATTTATTACACATCACTTTACTGAAAATATTTTCTTCTTTACTACAGGTTATACAGGCTGTACAGCCTCACATAGTTGTGGTCGAATTATGCAGAGCCAGAGTAGGTATACTACAACTTGATGAAGAAGCTATGTTTCGTTATGCCAAGAACATTGATTTCAGTGAGTTTCTGTATTTTTAGAATTCTATCCGGAGTGTGTGCCATTATGTTATTATTTAATCTATTTACAGAGACTATCATGGATACCATTAAAAGAGAAGGGTTTTATAACGGTTTACTACATATCTTAATGCTGAGAATGGCGGCACATGTTGCCAAGCAGCTAGGTATGCCACCCGGTGGCGAATTTCGTAGAGCATTTGAGGAGGTTAGTGTGTGCACATAATAGAAATGGCATTATACAATGATGATCGATTTAATTTATTATGATTATTTCAGGCAAAAAAGGTGCCTAATTGTATCGTTCATCTGGCCGATCGACCAATTAAGATAACAATGCAACGTGCGATACGATTGTTATCTTGGTGGCAGACTATAAAACTAGGATGGCATCTGGCAACAATGAAGAATCCTATTACTCAGGAGGACGTCGAGCTCTGTAAACAACGATCGATGCTGGATCGAATGATCGCCAGCATGGAGGAGGAATTCCCGGTATTGGAAAAAGTGTTTGTCAAAGAGAGGGATATTTATTTGACGAATTCTCTGCAATTAGCCTGCATGCCCCATCACACTGTTAATCATACTATCGAGCCAGCGCGAGTTGTAGGAATCGTCGGCTTAGGGCATACACCCGGTATTATCGAAAATTGGGGTAAAGTTAAGCCCGCCGACATACCGCCTATCATGAGGTAAATATGAGACATGGAGAATAACATGAATAATTTTTATTATATAGAGCATGTTTTGGGAAATCTCTTATATTAAACTGATGTAAAACCGTTATACATCAATTCATCACTTCATCTCTTGCAGAGTACCGCCACCGTCGTTGTCGAGTAAAATCCTAAAGCTTACTGTCAAGGCGTCCGTTCTTGGTGCTGTAATATATATAGGCTATAAGATCGTAGCGATACCCGCTGCTACCACTTTCCAAACTATCAAGTCATCGGCCGAGGGACTTTTAAAGGTTGGTGCTACACGATAGGGTTACACATTTGAATTCTCGTTTACTTTATATTCTAAGAAGAAAAGCCTCTCTTTTTTTTTATCATAAAACGATTATTTTCTCTTTATCTCCTGTGCTGCCTTTGTCTCCCAAAGAGTCTATCGGATTTGCTTTTGGGCTTTTTTTATTGACACACGATTATGGTAAGCATGGAGGCAACAGCTTCCATCGACAAGTACGAACATACCGTAGAGGACGTTATGTATGTAGTAAATAATATACCGGGGCCCGGCGTAGACGTAGCGGATTTTGAAGCGGAATACATCGTGGGTTGTTCCTGCACGGTTAAATGTGATAACTGTTCGTGCACTCGCGGTTCTGCTAATTACTTCAATGCCCGAATCGTCGACGAGAAATTGGCCGGTCCGGTATTCGAGTGCAACCCTCATTGCAAGTGCGGACCAAATTGCGGAAATAGATTAGTGCAGAATGGTCCGCTAAATTGTTTGATTGTCAAAGAAATTGCCGGCAAGGGTCTCGGTCTCTTCACGACTAGATTAATCAAAAAGGGTCAATTCATCTGTGAGTACGCTGGTGAAGTGATCGGCCCGCAGGAGGCGCGACATAGAATCGAAGCCAATAAAAGGCATAATATGATGAATTATGTTCTCGTGGTAAGGGAACACGTTGGTGATCGTGTTATCGTCACTTGTATAGATCCAAAATACTTTGGTAACATTGGACGTTATGCCAATCATAGCTGCGATCCTAAATCTAGCCTTGTCCCGGTCAGAGTAGAAGGAATCGTGCCTCGGTTAGGCTTGTTTGCATCTAAAGATATAGAGAGTGGGGAAGAAGTGACTTTTGATTATGCTGGTGGTGCAATGGCCAATTCCGTCCATTATCTCAGTGATACTCCTTGTCTTTGTGGTTCTAACAATTGTTTCAATTATTTACCACACAATCGGATTTGACAGTATGAAGTATTCTCGTATAATATAATAGTGACAAAGAAATTAGGCTAAAAATGTTCAAAATTTAAATATCACAGATCTAAATTGATTGTAAATTAGAAAAAGTTATATCTTGAAATTTGATATTGTAAAAATCAAAACAAATGTTGCAGAACATTATAAACTTGAATTTTTAGAAATATATATGTCTAAAAATATAACTTCATATATATATGAAAGAGAAAAAGAGAGTGTATAAAATAGATAGTACATTATACATATATATACACACACATGTGTGTATATTTATCGCATGATTCTTTGCAATGAGTCAATATTATTACTTGTTAAAATATAGTATATTCCAAGAGAAATAAGACACCCTGTGTATCATCATGTTGCAACTATGTGACTTACAATATTTCTTGAATAGAAATTAGTTATTATACTTAAAAATATATACTTATATATATTTAAATAGAATTTTGTTATTTGATATTTTATTTAAATAGTATTTAATTGCTGCGTTCTTTTTATTATATGCAGTTTATCGATATAATATTAATATGCATTAAGATGAATGAGTTATCTCTTCATTGTTCTGTCAAATAATTTATATAATGTGCCAACGGAATTATTTTTATTAGTTAAAAGTAGAATGTTTCCTATTTGATATTAAATCTTTAACATTTTCTTTACATTTAACTCAAAATAAATAATCAATACAAAATGTTCATGTAATTGAAAAAAAATAGGTGTTCTCAAAATTGCGAATGTTGGTATAATTGTGTATGTATTTGACTATAATCATAACATATATAATATCTACTTTTCATTAAAATAGCGAACATCGATGATCGAATGTTTCTATAATTATAGAATTACAACTATTTAATATAAAAAAATTATTCTGAGTATTCATATCAATCATTTATATTTTATTTTAGAAATTTTAAAGATATCTATATATACACATATTTATAGACTTAGAATGCTTCTAGATTATATAACATCGAAAAAGTCATAACTTATTAAATTTTTAGATTATCGAAAAATCAACGATATAGTATATTTTAATATCAAAATATATGCATGCATATATAGATATACATATATCTAGAGCGTATTTTTCTGTAATTGTTGAATGTTTTAAGAGAAATTGATGTTTATTAATTAATTTATACTACATCGAATGAAAAATGTAGTTCCCAATAACTGCCTTTGATATATATCGACGACGATTTGTGAAAGTATAATTATTTTTAATAAAAGTTCAACCAACATTTAATGTTCTATAGATATACTCATTCAGAAATTTTGCGATAATCTGTGTGTATTGTAAACTATATTTAAGGGATGGCTTTCTTCTTACTTATGTGTATAATATTTTAATATTTGGATACATTAAGCGTATTTGTGCTTATATTAAAATGTAAATAATCGAGGAAAATGTTCTAGACAAATTACTTGACAAATCTGGGAATTTTAAATTGCTGAAATCGGTGAATGTTGTGAAAGGTAAATGGAGCTACATATTGACAATAAAATGATGTACAGTGTGTATGATAGAAAATATTTATAATTGTCTATTTCATAATTTTGTTCAGAATCATGCAAAATAATTTGATATAATAAAGAGATAGGATATTGTTTAATATATTTTTTAATAGATGTATTGTATACATTTTTAATAGATTAGTCTGTAACAAAGCTAGTTTATTAAAAAAAAAAATAGATTTTGCTCTTTGATAAAGGAAAGTAATTACTAATTTTTAATAAAATAGTCATGGATGTAGAAAATTAAAGGAATGCACTTACAGAGAGAGGGTTAATTATAATATGTGAGATAAAACTGTAATTATATAACTGTAAATATATATATATACTATAGAGTTCTTCACAAACCTAGCATTATGTTCTAAGCAGACTATTCGATGTTATCTTGGCAGTAAATTTTCAAATTTTGTTATAATATTAACAAGAAATTCTTAAAATCACAAAATTAAGTACTTGAATGATTTTATATAGGTTAAATTAATGTTTAATATTAGGTTTAAATATTAAACATTAATTTAACTTATACATAACACACACACATAATTACGTTTTTAACTTCATAAAATTATTTTTGGAAATTATTTTTGACTCGACATATAACGCAAATCAATTTTAATTTGATTTATATATAATGGATGAGAAAAAGGTATTTGTACATTTGTAAAATATATACAAAATTTATTTATTTTATAGTGTACAAATACTTTTCTGATCCACTTTATATTTGATGATAATAATGCTGCAAAACTCTTTCTGCAAATTATATATCATAAATTTATATTTATGATATTTTTTTAAAACTATTGTACACATATAATAATCTCTCAATGCAAGATTGTTATATTACATAATCATTAAGCATTAATTATCATTTCAATAAAAGTTTCTCAGACTAGTGTATCTTATATTAGCGCTAATTTATAAATTAATGCCAGAGATAGTAGATATTGATTCATCATTGGTTCGATACCTCCAACGCCACCACGCCACTTTCATTCGATCCCAGATATTTTCCCATGAGTCCATCGCAGGTCTCACATCAAGTAATGCAAACGTGTACTTTTCGTCAACTTTACCGCCATCATAATAATCGATAATATATCTTACGTTTTTACCACAACGATCTATAATCCAGTCATGTCGATCGAACGGCAATTCATATCTGAAAAAACAATATATTTCATATAGTCAATATATTTCACAGATGATATATAGTGAGTCAGTTTATATAGGACAGCAACGCACCCCATCCAATGGCGAATACGCGCACGTGGAGAGTATTTCGATGCTTTTCCACCAAAACTACGCAATTTCGGGTTACCACACTCTCGTGCGTGAAGAGCTTCCCATTTAAGAACCTCTTGCCATGCCTGTTCATTGTTAGCATTGTGAATTTTTATTATGTCATCCATATCTTTTGTAGATATATCATCATTCTTCCATCGCCATCCCTTTCTTAACATAGCATTCCAAAACATCTGTTGAGAGGGGTATACCCAAAATTCTCCCTCCCCTGTCGCTTTGGGTATTGATGAAACTTGTCTATCAGTTGGTAAAAGAAATGGCTGGTCTGGTGCGGGTTGCTGATTTGCTGGTGGCATCTATAATTATGTTTGTTTATTAATGATTCAAGAACAATAGTATATCATCAAGCAAAACATGTATTTATTAACTAGCAAAATAAATATGCCATTATACGTACCATGTTTAATGGATTTATTTCGCTTTCATCCATTTTGTCTATTGGACATTCGCTAACATAATTGATAGTGTTTAATTGACCTGATTTGTGCATGGGACATTCTGGTGGTGGTTCATCTCGATATTGTTTCGTTCTATGGGATTCTGGCTTAATAATTTGTTGAGATACCGGTACTATCACATCAGCAGCTGACACAGATGCGGTGGTAAGAGCGTTGCCCATGATTGTTCTTATAACGGAAAGAAAAAAGATAAAAATCCTTATAAAAATGCACAATGTAAGGACAGTCATAAAGAGAATTAACCTAACGATTAGCAATAATTAAAATCAAGTCTAATCGAGAAAGTTTCAAAGATTTAATGTAATTTAAATAACCTTTAAATCTAATGAAGAGATTATGCAATAATCTACATTCTCCGATATAAAATAGAATATTGAGATACTTGTGCAAAGATTTATATCTACGTAATATAGCGAGATATCGCCCGTGGTTTCTGTCAGAATTGTTAAGAATTTTCACTGAATTTTCTCGAACTTACCTGTTATGGCAGATATATTTGAAATTTCTCAATTTCAGATAAATTTGTTCTTTTTCTATTTCGTACTTTACTGAGAAACGCGGATTATTATATAATCCAAAGTTAAACAGAGATTTTAACGTAAATTATGTATATTATTATACACAATACATGTGGAAGAAAATTGGAACATCTGAATTCCGAATTCTCTTCCAACTTCCAGGCATAGACATGAACACGATTTGAAGTAATTGACTGTATCGGTAAGAATAGCAGATGAGTAGAGATGGTTAATGATTGATGTATTTTGTATTGACTCCACAACGATTACTTAGAATTTTATTATCAAATGCTTATTCTTAACTCATAAAAATATTAATATATATCTGGATTCGATTCTTTATGATTATCTTTTTTTTGTAATTTAATTTCTGTCTTTAAATAGAAGAAATTTTATTTATCTTCGATCGATTCCATGGTAAAGTAGCGCATTAAACTAGAATCGCCTAGAATCGGTGGTGTCAATGACGTCACGATAATCGGCTTTCTAATAGGTGGACAAAAACTGGACCGGCCAATCAGCGCGCGTTTCAGTCGACGACGCACGCGCGGCGCTGCAAGTGCACGATGATTGGTCAGCCTGGTTTTCCTTCAGCGTGAAGTCGAGCGCGGCATTCAAGCGATCCGGGACGCGAGTTCGAATCGTCCGTCGCAATTATTGCTCCGTAAAAACGGATCTCGCGCGCGTAATTTATTATCGCGAGTGTCTTGTAAAGTGTCGAACGTTTGTCGTAACGCGTTAAATATCGCGTGTAAGTGTTATCCGTTGATATCGTGCGCGATTGATTTCAATATCCGCTTTCGCGTTTTCAGGTTCGATCGATGTCGGTTTCGCGTATATTTCAACGGCCGTTTTCTCGCCGAAAAATGTATCAAAATGTAACGCGCGCTCGATCATCGTCAGGTATGGATGCTTAATCACACACATATATAT